CTGATATAGAGGCATATATTTTATGGTAGCAAATGAGCAAACAAACCTTTTACACATCCATCTTTTAACGCATTCACGATGTACCTAACTTTTCTTTGATTAAAAAAAATAACAATTCTGCCTCCCAGGTTTATCTGTTCTTTCCAAACTGTCAAAAAAATTAAATCTGCATAAAAGTGGGTTTGCACAGGTCAAACTCCACCGTTTAAGGGTCAAGAATGCATTAGAGACTGCTGACCCTCCCTCCTGCGTGCCGGCAGCCAGTTAGGGCATTCAGCCTCCCCTTTGGCTTTCAGGTCAGGAAAGCTGCCTCACACCACCGCGGGGCCAGCTCTGAGCCCAGGAAGCCTGCTTACTTTCACTCTGAAGAAGAAGAAGGGGTTTGTTTGACGACCAGAACTTAAGGAAGAAAAGCAGACCTCAGGGGCGGAACTAGAAACTGTTTGTAGGTGTCAAGAGAGGAACGGTGACCAGAGACTTGACTAATTGCCGCTCGGCCCGTCCATGATTTACGATGGAAGAAACGAGTCTGTCTTCAAGCCGTATAACGACCATTTCCCCAGTGGGTTGCAGTGTCAGTGGAAAGGGCAGAACAATAAAACTCCCGAGAGAACACAGAATACTTGCATGAGCATGGCTGACGTGGCTGGTGCCTTTCAAAAGGCGCTAACTCGGAGGAAAAGGCAGGTGAATTGTATTTCAGTCTAACCGCATTGAGTGGAGAGCCTTGTGAAGAAAGGCATGGGTGCCGTCGGAGAAATCCATGCCAGGAGTGCTGCGAGGGCTGGGAGATGGCCCGGCATGTGAGCTGCTGGACGTACAAGCCCGAGGGCCAGCGCTGGCCCTCAGAACCCGAGCGGATGCCAGCTACGTGCGGTGGCTAGCCTGCAGGCCCGTCGTTCAGAGGGCAGACACCGGGCTCCTCACAACAGGCTGGCTACCCAGACTAACCTACCAGTGAGTTCGGAGTGCAGCTGAAAGATCCTTCCTGCGTCATTCTCAGACTTCCCTAGACACAAACACATTCATGCAAGACACATACTACACACAGCAGGAAAAACTCTGAGCTGCCACGAGTAACAGGTGAGGGCAAGCAGGTAGAGAAACTGTAACCTTTGCTAGCTGGATGAGCTTGCTCAGCCACTGGAAACAGCTCAGCAGTTCTACAAAAACATGGTGATAGTGTTACCAGCTGACCCTGGGGGCTGGAGATGGCTCAGTGGTGAAGAGCACTGGCTGCTCTTCCAGAGGACCCCGGTTCAATCCCCAGCACCCACATGGTGGCTCAACTGTGTGAAACTTTAGTTCCAGGGGACCAGACTGCACACAGACACACATGCAGGCAAAATGCCAAGGCACCATCTGGCCCTGAAGTTTCCTGGTCCAGGTCCATTCTCTGGAGTATTGGAAACAGAGCTGAACACAATGGCACATGGCTGTGATCCTCATGCTAGGGAGGGTGAGGCAGGAGGATTGTGATCCGAGGCCAGCCTGGGCAGTATACTGGGGTCTTTTCTCCATAGAAGGATTGCAAAGGTACAGAGTGTCACGAGTGCAGGCATTCCCCACCGTCCAAAAAGCAGCAGGAGCTCTCCTGCCCACCCGTGGGCTGCTGAGCACAGGGCCTGTTATACAGGGAGATATTTCCTACCCAAGGGAAGGAATCCTGCGCTGACACTCGGCTGTGTGACGTTATGTCAGTGAAAGAAGGGCCAGAAACAACGTGTGTGCTGCCATTGTGTAGGGAATAGCCAGGAAAGATCTACTGGGAGGGGCAGAATGCGCCTCTGCTGACGGAGGTGGGGTGGCGTGAGGGGAGAGGGCGGCTCTGACTTTGCAGATGGGGACACTAGGTGTGCGATCCTGGAGGTTGTAAACACATTGACTGCAAGTGAGTGCTTTGCTTTAAAATGGTCACTTTTGGGTTGCCGAAAGTTTGCTTCAATAACTAAATCTTCAGACTGTGGGGTGCCACTAGCATGGGTGAACCCAAGGGCACTGGCTGGCCAGGGCATGGGGGCAGCTGGAGCCCTGGCCCCATGGCACCAGAGCTGCCATCCATGGCCTCCAACTCAGCGCTCCTCCAGCAGCCACTGCTGCAAAGAAACAGCTGGGTATTTGGCCACCAAGAGACAGTAAGGAGCCGCCTAGCGTCCTCTGGCAGAGGCCTACGCCTGCCAAAGGGAGGCGAGTATGTTGTGATGCGGCCTCTTACGGAATACTACTCAGGGATGAACATGGACTGCAGCAGGAGGGGACTGCCACAGAACTGTGGGTGGGACCAGGCCAACCCCGAAGGCTGAATGTGTATTCATCCTTGTATGAAATTTAAGCAGCAGCAAAACCACGGAGGTGGTTATAGATGAGGGTGCTCGAGAGAGCCCATTGGCGTCGTTACACAGATGTGCACGTATGAACAGACGGAACTGGGTCTGTGGATTCATTTACTTTACTGTGTAGTGTTTACTTTTAAAACGAAACACTAGCAAAGTTGGAGACAAACAAGAGCCACCAGGGCAGATGTTGGTGAATCGGGAGGAGGGACCGTTTGAGAACCATGAGGTTGCAGGAGGCCTGGGGTGACAGTGGCGCACCCCAGCTTTGGATCTGCTATGGGCTGGAGGGAGGGAAGCGGCATCGGGAGCAGATTTTTAGGAAGAAGGACTTTGGAGACGCACCTGGGTAGACGGGAGGCAATGGCTGTTGTGGCACCTGGGGGAAGGGGCTTGCGAGCAGAAGCTGTTCAGGAAGGAAGGGTGAGGCAGAGGCACTGGCCGTGGGGGCCTGGCCCCCAGGTGGGTGGCTGGGAAGTATGGTCCCGGTGGCGGCGTGGAGCAGGACTCGAGAGAACCATTCAAAGCGCCTTAACTAGGAGTCTATGCGAAGCCCCTGGGCACAAGCATGCGACTGTTCTGGGCACAGCAAGGACAAGTGACAGAAGTCTGGAGTTGCCTGTGTATGGATGGCACAACCTGGGTGAACACCATACAGGAGAGAGGAAAGGCGGTCAAAGAGAAAAGAGTGCAGAAGGGAGACTACCGCTGTGGCCAGGTCAGAATGAAGCGGTGTCACGAAGGCCAGAGGAAAAGCCAGTGGGGCAGCCAGATACACGGGAAGAAAAGCTAGGAAGGAAGGGGAGAAATGAAAATGTGTGGGGAACGGGCCTGTTGTTGGGGCGAGGGCGGGAACAGAGACTGAGCACAGCCTCCTAGCCTGGCAGGCACCCAGAGGCCGGAGCCCCTGCAGGTGCAGAGTGAAGGGGGTTATTGGGTTTGTTCAGGGTTTGGGGAGAATAAGGAAAAGGAAGGTTAGGCTAGGGGACACTGTCAGCAAAGTCTAGAAACCATCTCATTTCTGTATGATTTGCTTCATGAGCCAGACTGTTCTTGCTGGAGACTGGAAGAATGGGGTGAGAGGGACAAAAGCAAACAAACAAAAGTTTAATAGCAAAGAAATAGAAGTTGGGATATCAGCATCTGGTTGAGGTCGTTTTTTTTTTTTTTTGCATTTTATTTATTCATTTGTATTTATTTAGAGTCATGTGGTGTGTGTATGGAGGTCAGAAGGCAGCTGGTGAGGGTCGGTTTTCTCCTGCCACGTGGGCCCCAGGGATAGGGCTCCTGTCGTGAGGCTCAGCTGCAGCCCCTACCTGCCGAGACATCCCAGCCTCTGTTTGATTTCTGTCCTGGGCCTGTGACCCGGGCAAGCTTTTCAGTCTCTTGGGGTCCCCCATTTCCTCATCTGCACGCTGGGTACGCTGGGTACGTATGCTTCTTCCCTAGAATGGTCTCTCTGACTCTCCCCCTGCCTGGACCTGTGGGTTTGGTGCAGTGTGGATGCTGCCCACTGCGGGGGGCCCAGTGTGGGGGTCTGGCCCTGAGTGCCCCATGCTGTAAGCCTGACTAAGGAAGCTCAACTCCAAGCTTTGCTACAATAGTCGCAAGGAAAGCGGAGTCTGGGCAGCGAGCGCATTTGTGAAAGGAGCCCTCGGGGACTAGGCTCACATCAGTGAGAGTTTACAGCCGCTCTCTTGAGCAGGCTCAAGTTACACAGATATGTGAAGTAGGCCCTGAGGACAAAGTGGGAACAGAAACAGCAGTGTCTAGCCTTCCATACTGTTTCTTGTGTGTGTGTGTGTGTGTGTGAGAGAGAGAGAGAGAGAGAGAGAGAGGGAGAGAGAGACTAAGTAAATAAGTATTCTTACAGAAGTGTGGCGAGTGAGACAGAACATTAAGAAGTGTGTTTCCTGGGCCAACCTTATGCCTTAAGGCTGAAAGAAGGAAGTGCCACTTTGAGCATGGGAGAGCTGTCAGTGGTCTCTGAGCGGTCGACACCCTGGTCCATCCCCCCCCCCCCCCCCCCGCCGTGCTTCCAGCTTGGCATTGCTCTTTCTGAAGGGAATGTTCTCTGCTCACATTTCCCTCTGTCTGAGTCTTCCTAGGGAGCCAGCCTCCAGGGCCTGCAGTGCTAGGCATTGCTGGCACACGAGGGACCCTGAGGGTCCCCTACGCCTTTCTTTGATACGCCTTTCTTTAAGCAGGGGCCTGAGAGTCTGGTCGCAGCCCTTTCCACCGGGGTGGGGGTGGGGGTGGGGGGAGTCTTCTGTGTTTGGCCCTGGCGGGTGCTTGATCCTTAAAAAAGATTCTACCGGGGGATGTGGAACTCGGCTCTTCTGTCTGCGTGGGATTCTGAACAGTGGCTGGGCTTGGATAAATATAATATATGCCAGCAGGTAGAGGGACCCTAGTCTTTCCATCTCTCCCCCAGGACCATACAAAGGTCACCCAAGCCAGTCTTGCCAGTTTTTTGTTTTTGTTTTGTTTTTTAATGAAAAAGAAGCATGCCACGGTGGAAACCGTGTTGCAGAGGTTGTGAATGGAGGTTGAGAAAGAACTGGTTTAATGTGGCCTCCTTTTAGAGCAGTGATTGATTAATGCTGCCTGTGTTGCTGTTCTTCCAGAGCTGACCTGTCCTGGACACAGCATAACTAACGAAGCCGCTGCAGGATGAGAAGATGGCCGCGCGGCTGCTCGCACCACCAGGCCCTGACAGTTTCAAGCCTTTCACCCCCGAGTCGCTGGCAAACATCGAGAGGCGCATTGCGGAGAGCAAGCTCAAGAAACCACCAAAGGCGGACGGCAGTCACAGGGAGGACGATGAAGACAGCAAACCCAAGCCAAACAGTGACCTGGAGGCAGGGAAGAGTTTGCCTTTCATCTACGGGGACATCCCGCAAGGCCTGGTTGCTGTTCCCCTGGAGGACTTTGACCCATACTATCTGACGCAGAAAGTGAGTGGAGGCCCAGCTGCGGGCCCTCTCTCCCGTCAGGCTGGGGAGAGGGGAAGGAGCCATGGCGAGCCCTTGCTTCTACCTGGCGTCTTTATTTTCCATTTTGTGGCTGCTGAGGGTCACGTTCAGGTCTTCCTACAGGCGGACTCTGTTTTGGCTCCAGCAGGGATATAAAAAAACAAAACAAAACATGTGGAGTCTGGGGGCGTGGCTCGGCGTGGAGGCTGGGGCGTGGCTCGGTGGCAGAGCACACTTTAGCACAGGGATGTCCCCGGTTCTGGGAGCTTGAGGAGAAGAGCGAAAGGAGAGAGCGAGGGGGAAGTGTGGGCATAGACGAAGCAGATGTCTTTATTATCGTTCAAAAGGGCACTGCAGTGTGTGGAATTGCCCTGATCCACTCGCTCCAAATGTCCTTGTACGTAAAGATGATAGGGCAGCTGGCGGGCGCTATGGCGGGCGCCAGCGTGTGCTGTGTGCAGCCCTCCGTTGTGACGCTGCAGTGTTGCCATTGTGGGGCAGAAGCACGGGAGCATGCTGGTCCTGTCAGCCATAGTCTGGATGGATGTTGGTGGCAAAGCTGGTTCTGCCCCTGCCCCTGAACCAGGTAGAAGGCCAGGCCTCATTTGGCCAAGCGTTCAGACTTCCTGAGCAAGGTCTGACCAGATCCTAAGTTTCTGCTACATTTACTGTATGAACCTGTGCAAGAGGAGACCACGGCCTCCGGGTGACTCAGTGGCAGTCACTGAGCCGCTGGACTCCTGTCATCGGGTTTTCCGGATAAGGGGATGGGGCGATGGCTGTGTGTAGCTGTGTGCCTCAGACAGACATCTCCAGCACACTGTCGTCGTCCACCTGCCTGCCCTTTTAGACTGTGACTGCAGCTGGTAAACTAGAACCTTTTGCTCCTTTGGCTTGTTAGTGGAGCAGAATTAAGGACCTCTCTAGGATTGGTGAGCGGGCTCAGCGGGCTCAGCCACCTGCAGGAAGTTTCATGACCTGAGTGTGATGGCTGGGTTCCTCGTGGTGGGAGGACAGAGTGAGGTACCGTGAGCTGTCCTCTGACCTCCTGTGCACACCCTCCCAACAACACACACACACACACGTGCATAAGTGCATACATACGTATCTACATGCACCCGCGCAGGCACGCACATTGCATAGATACATAAACGAAGTTTCAAGGCATCCTTACCTCATGGATGACAAAGCGGTCGAGATCTTCTGTGTGTGGCACAGCCTTGACCCCATGTGCTTCTGTCCCAGCTCCCGACAGCGCCACGGGGAGGAGAGGTAGAGCCAGCCGGCTCAAGTCCTCAGGATTAAAGAATAAAGCATGATAGGATACAGAGGACAGCAGGGCGGAGAGCGCTCTTGACTCTGCCGTGGCTCACCGCATTTATTATTTATATTTTTCTTTCTTGGTATAAATATTGTCCAAGCCACCACAAATAATTGCAGGGAATAAAGAACAAAGAAAATCAAACTTTACAAAAAGAATTCGTGACTCCTAACAAATCACTTTATTTCTCTGAGCCTAAATCAAGTATTTTTCTGTCTTATATGCAAGCTAAATTTCTTTCCCTTAACTGTGACTCAGTTCTCCTTTGTGTCTTTTCTGTTTTCCCTGAGCCTTTCTGTCCCCAGTGCCGTATTCTGGTGGCCTGGCTCACGGCAGGGCTCGTGACAGAGAGCAGGCCTTTGGCTCTAACAGGCGTTCTCCGTGGAGCTCCATAGGACGGGCTCGTCGTGGCAGGGTCTGCCCGGTATTGCGGCATGCCCTGTCAGGCAGAGGCAGGGGGATCCCTGGAGCTCACTGGCCAGGCTGCCCGGCTGAGAGGAGGAGGAGGAGCCACGAGAGTCTGTCTGGAAAATAAGATGAGGGGCAGTTAAGGAAGACAGCTGACGTCAGCCTCTGCCAGAAGTGCATGTGTACATACATACATTCACATGTACTGCATGCAGACACTCAACATACATGAAGCATGTACGTGCCCATACATACAATCTACGTGCACGTATACTACACACATGAGAGAGAGCAAGTTTAGCTTTAGACCTTGGCCCTGTCAGAAGGGCAGGGAGTTCCTGAGAAGAATAATTTTAGTTATACTTTTGATAGTCTTTACTACATTTTTTCCTAAAAATGCTACCATTAAAAAAGGTCTAAGCTGGGCAATGATGACACACGCCTTTAATCTCAGTGCTTGGGCTGAGGCAGGTGGATCTCTGTGAGTTCAAGGCCAGCCTGGTGTACAGGGGAAGTTCCAGGACAGTCATGACTACACAGAGAAAGCCTGTCTTGAAAAACCAAAAGATAAAAAAATAATAATAATAAAATAATAAGATAAAATAAATAAAAATAAAGGTCTATGTAGCTATTGTAGCCACACAGCTAATGGCTACTGTAAGGTGAACAATTTATGTCAAAAAAGCATTGCTAGCAGTTCAGACATGTTTGTTTTACATGAATCTTTATCTATCTATCTGCTTAATCTACATACCTGCCTATAATTTGTCTACCTATCTATAATCTATTTGTCTATCTACCTACCTGCCTCTCTAATCTGTCTGTCTGTCTGTCTGTCTATCTATCTATCTATCTATCTATCTATCTATCTATCTATCTATCT